AAAAGCTTTAAATCTAAATCTGCCAGGAGTTTGATTGATTTTGGGTTTACCTGTCAACTTCCGAACTTTACTGGTTTGGTTTGGAGTTATACCATCTTTAACTGTTGGGATTTTTATTAAAGTTCAAAGGTGATAATATCAGTAAACAACTCTGTTCTTTAAGGTTGTTGCACCTTTCAATAACAAAAATGAAACTAACTTGACAAAAGGTGTGATATCTGCATTTCTGTCTGCAGATAAATCATATTTCTATGTTTTACCTCTTTATGCGGGTCGTGTATATGAGTTAGTTATTAATCATTAATTAATGTGCTATAAAATAAAACGTAAAAGGCCTCTCATAATCGACTTGTGTCTTAATCTTTATTTATAATCTTTGAAATGACAACCAATGAACTATTATTTAACAATCCTGTTTTTCAGCTGCCTTGGAAAAGTGTTTAGTCCATATTAGCTCTCATTGTGTCATCTAATAAATGTCTAAAACTTCAACTCATAAGGAACTTTTTAGGATACTGCATAAAACAAATTGTGCTGATTCCAGTTCTTTAATACTTTTGTCCCTTCAATGATTGTTATTATAGAGATCTATTCATGGATCAACTGGTTCTTCTTGAACAGGATACTAAAGGTGCTGATAAAATGTGTAGCAAGTCTTTATTAATTAATTTCATATTGGCAAAAATTCTTTAATAAATTTCTAATATCAGGGGCAAGTAGGAAAAAAATCTGTTTTCTAGTTTCTGTCTTGCTTTCTTCTTTTCGGATCATGGCTTAGGTTTTCTAGAAGATTGCTGCTGAAATAATCATCTTTTTTTTTCCTGGTAAAGCCTATCTGATTTTTTTGTTGTTGTTGTTTTGTTGTAACGCTATTATTTCAAATATTCAGTGATTTTATGCACTCTAACAAGGTTATGACCTGCAGCATCAATCCGTCAAACACAACAGCTGCAGTGAAGAACATCTGACTGAAGCACTCACTTCAAATCAAAGTCCGAGCACAGTTTAAGTTAATCCAACATGTTTCATTTTCTTTTTTAATTCATAATGAATTGGACTTCTGGTTTACATGTTTACAATATGTCATAAAAGATTATTTCAGATTTCCTGGGATCCCAAAATTCTAGTCTCTACAGCACAGTGAGCCATTAAAGGAGTCCATATAAATATAAATATATATA